TTCAAGTTGACCAATCAGATCCCTGCTCTGTGTCGAACCAATCAGAGCGCTGCAGCAGCTTTGACTGACAGCTTGTCTGGGGTCAGTTTGGGTCATTCATGGCCCCCGCCCTCCTGATGTCATCGGTGTAAAGGAAATGAGAAAATAAATTGTTTTTTTTTGTTCAGATGTTTGTTGATAAATAAAATAAAACTTTATTAAACTGAAGTTATCGATCTGAAATATTTAAAATCAACAGATACAAATTAAAAGTTAAATGTTCAGATGTTTTGAAATCGCTAAAATCAGCTGATCGATCAGAAAAACATGACGAGAGTAGACAGAAACAGCTGGAGGTCAGAGATCAGATGGAGGTCAGAGATCAGCTGGAGGTCAGATCAGCTGGAGGTCAGAGATCAGCTGGAGGTCAGATCAGCTGGAGGTCAGATCAGCTGGAGGTCAGAGATCAGCTGGAGGTCAGATCAGCTGGAGGTCAGAGATCAGCTGTAGGTCAGAGATCAGCTGTAGGTCAGAGATCAGCTGGAGGTCAGAGATCAGCTGGAGGTCAGAGATCAGCTGGAGGTCAGAGATCAGCTGGAGGTCAGATCAGCTGGAGGTCAGATCAGCTGGAGGTCAGATCAGCTGGAGGTCAGAGATCAGCTGGAGGTCAGATCAGCTGGAGGTCAGAGATCAGCTGGAGGTCAGAGATCAGATGGAGGTCAGAGATCAGATGGAGGTCAGAGATCAGATGGAGGTCAGAGATCAGCTGGAGGTCAGATCAGCTGGAGGTCAGAGATCAGCTGGAGGTCAGAGATCAGCTGGAGGTCAGATCAGCTGGAGGTCAGAGATCAGCTGGAGGTCAGATCAGCTGGAGGTCAGATCAGCTGGAGGTCAGATCAGCTGGAGGTCAGAGATCAGCTGGAGGTCAGATCAGCTGGAGGTCAGAGATCAGCTGGAGGTCAGATCAGCTGGAGGTCAGAGATCAGCTGGAGGTCAGATCAGCTGGAGGTCAGAGATCAGCTGGAGGTCAGAGATCAGATGGAGGTCAGATCAGCTGGAGGTCAGAGATCAGCTGGAGGTCAGAGATCAGCTGGAGGTCAGATCAGCTGGAGGTCAGATCAGCTGGAGGTCAGAGATCAGATGGAGGTCAGAGATCAGATGGAGGTCAGAGATCAGCTGGAGGTCAGATCAGCTGGAGGTCAGATCAGCTGGAGGTCAGAGATCAGCTGGAGGTCAGATCAGCTGGAGGTCAGATCAGCTGGAGTCAGAGATCAGCTGGAGGTCAGATCAGCTGGAGGTCAGATCAGCTGGAGGTCAGAGATCAGCTGGAGGTCAGAGATCAGCTGGAGGTCAGATCAGCTGGAGGTCAGATCAGCTGGAGGTCAGAGATCAGCTGGAGGTCAGATCAGCTGGAGGTCAGATCAGCTGGAGGTCAGAGATCAGCTGGAGGTCAGAGATCAGCTGGAGGTCAGATCAGCTGGAGGTCAGAGATCAGCTGGAGGTCAGAGATCAGCTGGAGGTCAGATCAGCTGGAGGTCAGATCAGCTGGAGGTCAGAGATCAGCTGGAGGTCAGAGATCAGCTGGAGGTCAGATCAGCTGGAGGTCAGATCAGCTGGAGGTCAGATCAGCTGGAGGTCAGAGATCAGCTGGAGGTCAGGACGATGAAGACTAAAGTAAACCTCTGTGAGGGACGGGGAGGACTCTGCAGCTCGTGTTGGATTTAGAGATGAAAATTAAAAATAATAAACGTCTTTTCCAAGTCTAAACTTTATGACACCTACTTGAAAGACTTTCATATATTTATACTTCTCTTAACGTGCATCAAAGCGCTCGTCAGTGATTATGTTAACAGGAGCTCGACTGATTTATGGACCGATATCAGAATGTCCAGTGACTACCGGCTAACTTTGTCACAGAAATGCTGCGATATGACTCGATTTATTCAGCAGTTAGAAATCATTTAATTTGAGTTGCATTGTTTTAAACTAGCAGTTCTTTCACCAGCAGAGGGCGCTATATGGCAACACTAACCGAGTGCTCCGAGACGAGACCAAGACCGCAAATATCTCTGAAAAATCCTCGTCTAGTTTTTAGGGGGCGTGTCCCTCACTTAGACCGTGACACCGGGAAGGTTGTGGTCGTAACCGGGGATAAAAATCAAACTATAAATGACTTGAAGTTATTTGTTCTTTTAGAAAGAGGCGTTTTCCTTCTAATCTCAGTGATGACGTGGAGAAATAGCAGATCAGTGGTGGTCTTGATTTAAAATCCAGAGTCCGCCCAGTCTGAGACCGAGACAAAACGATTTTGAGTACATCATCACTCTGCAGAGTGTCGAGTGGTGATGCTCTTTCATGCTCAGTAACTTTCCAGCTGAGCGGCCATCTTGTCTTCATTCTAAATCTTTTCCACAAGTGTTATAACTGAGGGATCAACACAGTAAATGTGTTTATTTATATCTATCTCTTCAGATAGAACATAGATCTAAGAAAGACAGCGGGCGATTATAACGGTATCAAATTTCTTCCCCCAACATCGATATCGGCTCCAAAACTCAAACTTTTAAAATGTACGGTACACAATCCAATCCTGTTCAGTTCTTTAAAGGTGACATATTCTCCTCCTCGTCTTCAGTGTAATTAAGTCTCAGAACTCACCAAAACATGTGTGTGAAGTTTCTTGTTCTAAATCCACTCTGATCCTGTATTTGATCATGTCTATAAACCCCTCTATTTCAGCCCTGCTCAGAACAGGCTGTTTCTGTGTCTGTACCTTTAAATATGTAAATGAGCTGTGTCTGTGTCTGTACCTTTAAATATGTAAATGAGCTGTTTCTGTGTTTCTGTGTTTTTAATTTCTGTGCCGTCTTACGTTACCTCCCATTTGAAAACAAACCAGCTTTTATTTTGAAAGAAACAAAAAAAAACACCGGTACATGAACATGAACTAAACCTAAAAAGAACTGTCTGTAGTAGACTGTGGTGGTCTGTAGTGGACTGTAGTGGACTGGGATGGTCTGTAGTAGACTGGGATGGTCTGTAGTAGACTGTGGTGGTCTGTAGTGGACTGTGGTGGTCTGTAGTGGACTGGGATGGTCTGTAGTGGACTGGGATGGTCTGTAGTAGACTGGGATGGTCTGTAGTAGACTGTGGTGGTCTGTAGTGGACTGGGATGGTCTGTAGTAGACTGGGATGGTCTGTAGTAGACTGTGGTGGTCTGTAGTGGACTGGGATGGTCTGTAGTAGACTGGGATGGTCTGTAGTAGACTGTGGTGGTCTGTAGTGGACTGTGGTGGTCTGTAGTGGACTGGGATGGTCTGTAGTGGACTGGGATGGTCTGTAGTGGACTGTGGTGGTCTGTAGTGGACTGGGATGGTCTGTAGTAGACTGTGGTGGTCTGTAGTGGACTGTGGTGGTCTGTAGTAGACTGGGATGGTCTGTAGTAGACTGTGGTGGTCTGTAGTGGACTGTGGTGGTCTGTAGTGGACTGGGATGGTCTGTAGTGGACTGTGGTGGTCTGTAGTGGACTGGGATGGTCTGTAGTAGACTGTGGTGGTCTGTAGTGGACTGTGGTGGTCTGTAGTGGACTGGAATGGTCTGTAGTAGACTGGGATGGTCTGTAGTGGACTGGGATGGTCTGTAGTGGACTGTGGTGGTCTGTAGTGGACTGGGATGGTCTGTAGTGGACTGTGGTGGTCTGTAGTGGACTGGGATGGTCTGTAGTGGACTGTGGGGGTCTGTAGTGGACTGGGTCAGTCTGTCGTGGACTGTGGTGGTCTTTAGTGGACTATGGTGGTCTGTAGTGGACTGGGTTGGTCTTTAGTGGACTGTGGTGGTCTGTAGTAGACTGTGGTGGTCTTTAGTGGATTATGGGGGTCTTCAGTGGACTGGGGTGGTTTGTAGTAGACTATGGTGGTCTGTAGTAGACTATGGCGGTCTTTAGTAGATTATGGTGGACTGGGGTGGTCTGTAGTGCACTGTAGTGGACTGTGGTAGTCTGAAGTGGACTTTGGTGGAATGTAGTGGACTCAGTAAAGACAGTAGACCTGGTTCTGGTTTTGGTTCCCTTGTCGTTTTTTAATTGGAGGATCCACTCGGAGACCAGAACCGTCACAGTACCTCTGTGGTTCTGGTCCAGGTCCTGAAGGGTCCTCAGAGTCCTGTAGCCCGAGGCCACATCAGTCAGTTTTTCACAATAAGAGCACAAGATCTGCATTTTATTTTGACAGTCCAGATTGGATCAGAGCCTCTTGATTGGCCTATCAGATGTTTGTCTTTAGTTCTGATCCAATCAGCTGTAGTGTTTCCATTTCTGGCCCCGCCTCTCACACAGGCTGTCCAATCAGCTGCCCCCCTTACAGGAAGTCAAGGCTGTCCAATCATAAGGCAGGGGGCGTGTCCAGCAGGGGAGCGTGGCTCAGAGACTCCCTCTTGTAGGTTTTAGGGGGAAGTTTCGGAACACCGTGTCGGGGGGGAACAGGGGGGCCATCCAGGGGAAGGAGGGGTAAGGGGGGCGAGGGGAGGGCCGTCTTCTTTGAGGCGGGGATGGGACTGGGGGTGACGGGGGCGGGATGGGGGGTGAGGAGGCAATGGGAGCGGAGCTGACGCAGGGGGAGGGAGAGGAGGTGGAGGGAAGAAGGCCTGAGGCAGCAGGTCACAGCGGGGCGGGCGGCCCTGAGGGGGGGCAGGAGGTGCAGGGGGGAGCTAAGAGGTTCCCGAGGAGGCAGAGAGGGGGGGCTGTCCGGGGGAGACGACGACAACGACGAGTAACGAGTGGGAAGGAGCTTACAGGTGGGCTGGCGCGGCGGCACTGCGGGGGGGCTGTCCAACTGTGACATCATCTGTAAGGGAGGGGGAGGGGAGGGGGGCACAGAGTGAGAACAGAACCAGACAGATTCTTCAGGTTCTAATTAGAACGTCATGTTCTCTAACGAGGTTTACCTTCGACGGAGACGACTCAGCAGGAGCCGACTCAGGACGTCTGCGAGGAGGAACCGGAGGAGGAACAGGAACCTCCTCAGAACCACGACTGAAACTCACCATGGAGGAGACCGAGGAGGACCCTGAGAGGAGAACACACACCGTCAGAACCACACACACACACACAAAGAACAGAACACACACCGTCAGAACAACACACACACACACAAAGAACAGAACACACACCGTCAGAACAACACACACACACAAAGAACAGAACACACACCGTCAGAACCACACACACACACAAAGAACAGAACACACACCGTCAGAACAACACACACACACAAAGAACAGAACACACACCGTCAGAACCACACACACACACAAAGAACAGAACACACACCGTCAGAACCACACACACACACACACACAAAGAACAGAACACACACCGTCAGAACCACACACACACACAAAGAACAACACACACACGTCACACAAAGAACAACACACACCGTCAGAACCACACACACACACACAAAGAACAACACACACACGTCACACAAAGAACAACACACACCGTCAGAACCACACACACACACACAAAGAACAACACACACACGTCACACAAAGAACAACACACACCGTCAGAACCACACGCACGCACGCACGCACGCACGCACGCACGCACGCACGCACGCACGCACGCACGCACGCACGCACGCACGCACACTGACAGAAAAGGATCATCCTGCCAGCAGCTTGACAACATCATTGATACAGTTAATCATGATCAGATGGTTTCCATGGAGACAAACAAAAATAAGAGCTGAACATGTGTCTCGTACGTTTGTCTGGTCAGTGTGCGATGAAGGTTTGAGTAAGAAAGGTGAGACAGGTGAGTGAGATGCCTGTGGAGAAGGTCAGTGATGAAGGTGAGACAGGTGAGTGAAGGTGAGACAGGAGAGTGATGAAGGTGAGACAGGTGAGTGAAGGTGAGACAGGAGAGTGATGAAGGTGAGACAGGTGAGTGAAGGTGAGACAGGTGAGTGATGAAGGTGAGACAGGTGAGTGAAGGTGAGACAGGAGAGTGATGAAGGTGAGACAGGTGAGTGAAGGTGAGACAGGTGAGTGAAGGTGAGACAGGTGAGACAGGTGAGTGATGAAGGCTTGACAGGTGAGTGAAGGTGAGACAGGAGAGTGATGAAGGTGGGACAGGTGAGTGATGAAGGTGAGACAGGTGGGTGAAGGTGAGTGGTGAAGGTGAGACAGGTGAGTGAAGGTGAGACAGGTGAGTGATGAAGGTGAGACAGGTGAGTGAAGGTGAGACAGGTGAGACAGGTGAGTGATCAAGGCTTGACAGGTGAGTGATGAAGGTGGGACAGGTGAGTGATGAAGGTGAGACAGGTGAGTGAAGGTGAGACAGGTGAGTGATGAAGGTGAGACAGGTGAGTGATGAAGGTGACACAGGTGAGTGATGAAGGTCAGACAGGTGAGTGATGAAGGTGACACAGGTGAGTGATGAAGGTCAGACAGGTGAGTGATGAAGGTGATGTACGGAGAGTCAGGAGGGTCATACTAACGTGGACCGTGAGGCAGAGAGACCACAGAGAAGATACTGTCGCAGGCTGCAGAGTGAAGAGGAGAAAACACTGTGAGGAAGAGAGAGGAGAGGAGAGAGCATAGGAGGAGAGGAGACAGGAGAGGAGAGAGGAAAGGAGGAGGAGAGGAGAGAGGAGAGGAGAGGAGACAGGAGAGGAGAGAGGAAAGGAGGAGGAGAGGAGAGAGGAGAGGAGAGGAGAGGAGATAGGAGCAAGGAGAGGAGGAGAGAAGAGGAGGAGTGAAGAGAAGGAGAGGAAGCGAGGAGACAGGAGAGAGGAGGGAGACGAGAGGAGACAGGAGGGAGACGAGAGGAGACAGGAGAGGAGGAGAGGAGAAGAGAGAGGAGGAGAAGAGAGTACTCCTGTACCCACTATCTGCTGTTTACTGTTTAGTACCTACTACCTGCTGTTTACTGTTTAGTACCTACTACCTGCTGTTTACTGTTTAGTACCTACTACCTGCTGTTTACTGTTTAGTACCTACTACCTGCTGTATACTGTTTAGTACCTACTACCTGCTGTATACTGTTTAGTACCTACTACCTGCTGTATACTGTTTAGTACCTACTACCTGCTGTATACTGTTTAGTACCTACTACCTGCTGTATACTGTTTAGTACCTACTACCTGCTGTTTACTGTTTAGTACCTACTACCTGCTGTTTACTGTTTAGTACCTACTACCTGCTGTTTACTGTTTAGTACCTACTACCTGCTGTTTACTGTTTAGTACCTACTATCTGCTGTTTACTGTTTAGTACCTACTATCTGCTGTATACTGTTAGTACCTACTATCTGCTGTATACTGTTAGTACCTACTATCTGCTGTATACTGTTTAGTACCTACTATCTGCTGTATACTGTTAGTACCTACTATCTGCTGTATACTGTTTAGTACCTACTATCTGCTGTATACTGTTTAGTACCTACTATCTGCTGTATACTGTTAGTACCTACTATCTGCTGTATACTGTTAGTACCTACTACCTGCTGTATACTGTTTAGTACCTACTATCTGCTGTATACTGTTAGTACCTACTATCTGCTGTATACTGTTTAGTACCTACTATCTGCTGTATACTGTTTAGTACCTACTATCTGCTGTATACTGTTAGTACCTACTATCTGCTGTATACTGTTTAGTACCTACTATCTGCTGTATACTGTTAGTACCTACTATCTGCTGTTTACTGTTTAGTACCTACTATCTGCTGTATACTGTTTAGTACCTACTATCTGCTGTATACTGTTAGTACCTACTATCTGCTGTATACTGTTTAGTACCTACTATCTGCTGTATACTGTTTAGTACCTACTATCTGCTGTATACTGTTAGTACCTACTATCTGCTGTATACTGTTTAGTACCTACTATCTGCTGTATACTGTTAGTACCTACTATTCAGTAGGCAGATATTTGTTCCTACTTCTTCTGATTCATTCAGTAAGGAAGTGACGTCATTTACGTTTCCCGAACCGGCCGCATTCACCCGTTTGTTTTTTGTTTTTTTGTTTATCTTCATTCAAGAAGAGTAATGCTCATATACAGTCAGGTAAACAACAAACAATATCACAATGTAAATCAAGTAAAAGATTAAATAACTAAATAACATACAGTTATCTTTATTTAAATAGTTAAATCATTACTTAAATAGTGAACTCATTATTTAAATAGTGAACTCATTATTTAAATAGTTAAATTTTATTTAAATAGTGAAATCTTTATTTAAATAGTTAAATCATTATTTAAATAGTGAAATCATTATTTAAATAGTTAAATCTTTATTTAAATAGTGAAATCATTATTTAAATAGTTAAATTTTATTTAAATAGTGAACTCATTATTTAAATAGTGAAATCTTTATTTAAATAATCATTATTTAAATAGTGAAATCTTTATTTAAATAATCATTATTTAAATAGTGAAATCTTTATTTAAATAATCATTATTTAAATAGTGAAATCTTTATTTAAATAGTGAAATCTTTATTTAAATAGTTAAATCATTATTTAAATAGAGGGAGAAAGGTTTTATAATAATGCAGATATTTGTTATATTTTCTGTTAATTTAAAGTAGTGATTTCAGTCGGGACTTTAACTCTAGATTAAAAATTGATTCAATTAATCCACGCTCGTTTGTTTTGATTTGGAGGCGGACGTGAAGTGACGATTTACGTTTAATTTTGCACTGCATTGTGGGTAAAATACAATTCATTTCCTGAAAGCACGCATCCGATCCATACTGCATGAAACCAGGAAGTTAGTATCCATACTGATATGTTCAGTATACTGAGGTGGACCCAAAAAATGACCACTGAATGACTATGAATGAATGTCCTCCTACTGAAAAGTACTGACTACTGAACTGTGGATATTCAGAAAGGGCCCTGGACTGAAGAGGAGAGAGGAGGTGGAGAAACAAGAGGGAGGCGAGGAGGAGAGGAGCAGAAGAGGGAGGAGGAGTGGGACAGAACTGAGTGAAGAGGAGAGAGGATAGAGGAGGTGAGAGAGGAGGTGAGAGAGGAGGCGGATGTGAAGGAGAGAGGAGGAGTCTCACAGATGTCGACATGTTAGTTTCATTTGGAGTTCTAAAGTAAGTGAAGGAGTATGACCATGAACTCATTGATCACAGATCAGAGGTCATCAAACACCTGTGATGATGTCACAGTTTAATACAGTGACTCACCGATCAAACATGAAGGTTAGTGTGAGCTGTTAGTGTGTGTGTGTGTTAGCAAGAGTGCGCCTGTGGGCGGGGCTTACTGGAATGGAAGGGGCTGCTGGGACCCTGTGGGGAATCGAACACACTGCCTACGTCTGTTGAGCTGGAGGCGGCGGAGGCTGGGGGCGGAGTCAGCGGTGTGCGTGGGGAGTTGGGGGCTGAGACGGCCACGCCCTCCGCCTCACTGTCAGGTATGCGGCTGTAGCTGATCTTCCTGGGCTCGTTCTGCAGCGGCGTCGGGTGACGCATGGTGCCGGGCCTCGCCGAAGAAGGGCGGATCCCCGGAGACTTGAGAGGACAGGAGTACTTCTTGGCCTGGACACAGGTGGACACGTTTTAAACTGGTTACCAGGTGATCAGCACACAGAGAACATATATCAGACAAACAGCTCCCTCTGGAGGCACAGCAGGGCTTTACACCTGTGCAGGTACGGTGGCTCTGACCAAACAAATATTAAATATCGACAAATATCAATGGTAACCATGGTGACACTCACAAAGCGAGGCAAAGAGCGGGCGTTTCGAGGTTCGATCTCCAGAGATTTGTTGAACAGGTGATCTGCAAAGTCCTTCTCGGACATGTCCTCCATCGGGTTGAGGTTCTCGAAGAACTTCTGCTCCAGAGAGAGGAGAGGAGAGGAGAGGAGAGGAGACAGGAGAGGAGGAGGAGAGAGGAGAGGAGAGGAGAGAGGAGAGGAGAGGAGAGGAGACAGGAGAGGAGGAGGAGAGAGGAGAGGAGGAGGAAGAGGAAGAGAGAGGAGGAAGAGGAGAGGAGAGGAGAGGGAGAGCAGGAGGAAGAGAGAGGAGAGAGGAGGAGGGGAGAGGAGAGGAGGAGGAAGAGGAAGAGAGAGGAGGAAGAGAGGAGAGGGGAGGGGAGGTGAGGGGAGGAGGAGAGAGGAGGAGGAGAGGAGACGAGACAGGAGAGGAGGAGGAGACAGGAGAGGAGAAGGAGAGAGGAGAGAGGAACAAATGTCAGCCCGTGACATCACACGGCACTACAAAAACAGGAAGTGATGTCACTGCGCGACTCACCCTGATGTCGCTCTCCCCCCGTAGACAGTACGGCTGGTTCTGGTACTGCTGGATCTCCCCGGTGATCTCGGCCACCTTCCTCCTCTTGCTGAAGTTGATCAGGTCTTTGCCGTGCCGCCGCAGGAAGTCGGGGTTTCCTTCCTCTGTCTTCAGGATGTTGGTCAGGTAGATACCTGTGAGACACAGAGCTCAGAGTTAGCCGGTGAGCCTACATTGTTCACACCTGTGGGAGCTAACAGAGACGGAGCGTACCAAAGAAGGGCACACAGGGGGGGTTGATGGAGCGCAGTTTGGCGAGATATTTCTTATAGTGGTCCTCGCTGAGCTCGTGGGCCTCCTCTAAGATCTTCCTCTGACGACTCGGGATTTGCTGAAACAACAAAAAAAAAAAGATTAAACCACAACCTGGAGCTGCAGGTGGGATCTGATGATGTCACACGGGGGTGTTACCTCAAAGGTGTGGTCCAGTCTGTAGACCGGAGACGAGTTCATGGCGCTGACGACCTCCAGGACGCCGTTAAAGTTGTTTAGTTCTTGAAACACCTGAAGGATCTCTATGATCCGAGACACGACGGACACGCGCTCCTCCAGGTTCTCTGTTTCAACAATACACCTGAACACACACACACACACACACACACACACACACACACACACACACACACACACACACACACACACACACACACACACACACACACACACACACACACACACACACACACACACACACACACACACACACACACACACACACACACACACACACACACACACACACACACACACACACACACACACACACACACACACACACACACACACACACACACACACACACACACACACACACACACACACACACACACACACACACACAGTTAGCTGGGATCATCTGAAACAGCAGCTGTCTTCCCCACACACACAGTGATGTCATACTTTTCAAACCACAGTGTAAGGTTGGTGGTGTGTCGGATCATCCTCAGCAGGTTCGGTGAGTGGAGCTCTTTGTCCTCTTTGGTCCAAACACTACCGACCAGCTCTGAGGGCTGCACCGCCCTGCAGGTAAGACAGGTGAGAGACAGGTGAGACACAAGTTCGACAAATGACAGACAGGTGAGACAAATGAGAGACAGGTGAGACACAAGTTAGACAAATGACAGACAGGTGAGACAAATGAGAGACAGGCGAGACACAAGTTAGACAAATGACAGACAGGTGAGACAAATGAGAGACAGGTGAGACACAAGTTAGACAAATGAGAGACAGGTGAGACAGGTGAGACACAATATAGACAAATGAGAGACAGCTGAGACACAAGTTAGACAAATGAGAGACAGGTGAGACACAAGTTAGACAAATGAGAGACAGCTGAGACACAAGTTAGACAAATGAGAGACAGGTGAGACAGGTGAGAGACAGGTGAGACACAATATAGACAAATGAGAGACAGCTGAGACACAAGTTAGACAAATGAGAGACAGGTGAGACACAAGTTAGACAAATGAGAGACAGTGAGACACAAGTTAGACAAATGAGAGACAGGTGAGACACAAGTTAGACAAATGAGAGACAGCTGAGACACAAGTTAGACAAATGAGAGACAGGTGAGACACAAGTTAGACAAATGAGAGACAGCTGAGACACAAGTTAGACAAATGAGAGACAGGTGAGACAGGTGAGAGACAGGTGAGACACAATATAGACAAATGAGAGACAGCTGAGACACAAGTTAGACAAATGAGAGACAGCTGAGACACAAGTTAGACAAATGAGAGACAGTGAGACACAAGTTAGACAAA